CAGTTTACGCCATTATTTCATTCTTTTCCTATCGCTTCTTCCGACATTACACCTACTACTCGTTCATCGAAGTCGGTACGTATCTATCTCTATCTCATTCCTTGTACATTTCTAAATTTGGATTTCAACAGCATATGAAGTACTGCCAGTTTATAAACTCAAATTCTGCTTGCACTGATAATTCCTGAAAGGCTGTCACGCTAAGCGCGTTCCTGTTGGTGGTTCTTCCGCCTTGGTGCTATCTCTACTGAATGAACGGTACACCCAGCCTCCTCCTTATTGAATATGTGGCGGCCACGGCGTCTGGACGCAAGGCCGAAAATGCCATCGCTCGCAAAGACAAGCGACCACTACCCATTCCCGTGCGGTGCCCTGTTCTATTGCTTCTACGACCTCGCGAATGATTGTGCATTCTACAGTTTTGTTTTTGGAGATATAGACCAACAAAGGTATGGTCATTACTCATTCATATTGCTGACGGATCTCACAAGTATTTATAGGCCTATTTCATGTATACCGTCAAAGTAACATCTTTCCGCTATGTTCCCAGCGTGTTGTTAACCATCCATCCTCAGTGGTCCGTCTTACAATATGTAATAATTCGACCTCGTTCGTTGTTTCTTTCTTGCATCTTTTTTTCTTTTCACTCATTCAACCCCAGTCGCCTCCATCGCCGGCATCGTCTGCGAAAAGTACGGAGTACTATGCGAATCAGCTGGGTTCAGTGTTCATTATGCCAGTGTATATCTCGAAGCGATCGACTTCGTAAGCATAAGGTGAGTGTCGGTCATCTCAAAGGCATCACGACACCTGATGTCCTGTGTGTAGTATCGCCCTCTACGGCCTCTTGGTGTTTTATGGCCTGACGGCGGACGAGCTGAAAGGCCGGCGACCCCTCGCCAAGTTCCTATGCATAAAACTCATTGTCATGTTTACGTTCTATCAAGCGTTCGTCGTGAGTATATCCAGCAGCTTTATATATCCGTCCTTTCAACTAAGCATCGCGGCACAGTTTGGAGCTTTAGAAGGTAGAGTAATTCATGGTATGTTTTCAGTCTCCAGTGGCACCGTCTTTAGGATCTGAGGAAATAGCTGACCATCTTGCATAGAAACGGCATATTGGACTGCGACAAACATCTCCGACGGACTGAACGCCCTTGCCATCTGCATTGAGGTACGTTTATGAGGGGAAGGTTATTGACTCCCAATATTGACTTGAAAATATTGTGACGCTAGATGGTCTTCTTCTCTGCTCTAATGCTGTGGGCATATAACGCTGCTGAGTATCACAAACCCGGAGCTTCTGCAACGAGTATCTGGCGTCCACTCTGGGACTCGTACGCCGTTCCCTCTTTATCTAAGTAGAAATTCAGCTGAAACATTCAACCTCCAGAATAAACTACAGTAAGTCGCTGGCTACTCTCGTCCACATTGGCGCTAAACCCCATACCCTACAGGTGACTTTGGCCGTGAAATCATCGGCTCCCTCCGCTTCTTCTTCGAGTCCAGCTCTGGAAAGCCCCACCATACAAATCCACACTCCAAGATGAACTTCGGCGAGGCCTTTGGCGTCGAAGGCGGTGCCGGCCATGCCCACGCGATAGGCAGTAGCAGTGGGTTAGCGGTCCAAAACCCTGCTGCCAGACCGAGCTACGACGAGCACATACCTTTAGCAACCTATGAGAGCTCGTATCCGCCGCAACATTCCAAATAACTGCACATAAACTCATGCGGATAGAGGGGATGGGATGTCGGAGAGGCGTGGTCATGGCCTGGGCAGGCCGTGAGATGTGGTCGGAGAGTACTTGCTTAGATCTGACAATGACTGCTATTGGATACCTTTTACACTCTTACTATCGTTTATGCGGACTCGATACCTTGCTAATTGTATAATTCGACGTGCATCAAACTGAATGTGTATTGTCCAAAGTACATGGGATCGGGACGTCTGACCTCTATTCACCAAGGATGTCGGAGGGGCTTGCCGGATAAGTGACTCATTACTTGGAGTCGGCGCATAGTCCTGGGGTAATTCTCTGATCAGTTAGTAAGCACAGAGGCGGACGAGGAAGTTCGGATTGCTTAGTCATCTGATTACGCTGCGGAGTCGAAGGGCACTTGTCCTGGACGGCACCATAACTCATACACCTCACTCATAGATATCATGTCGGGCCTTGGAAGCTGGCTGTGGGGGACGTCGCAGCTCGACGACGCTGTTGGTGAGTACTTGCAGGCTTGACTGGGTTGCGTCATCTCTAACCGAGGTATCCAGACAAAGCCACCTCGGAGCTATTACCAGCAGGAGCGGAGGATATCGCGCTCAACCTTGAAATATGTGACCAGATTCGCTCCAAATCTGTGCCAGCGAAGGACGCCATGCGTGCACTGAAGCGCCGACTCAATCACAAGAATCCTAACGTGCAGAACCTAGCACTGAGCGTGCGTTGCATTCGGACTGGATCTGTGGTGGTCACTCATTCCTTCTTCACAGTTGACCGATATTTGTATCAAGAATGGAGGAGACCTCTTCCTGACTGAAGTTGCCTCAAGAGAGTTTATGGACAACCTCGTCTCGATCCTGAAAATACCTGCTTTGAACAACGACGTCAAGCAGCACATCTTGAGGCTTATTCAGAATTGGGGCATCGCCTTTGAAGGAAAGCTGACTTTAGGATATGTGGGCCAGGTTTATAAGAACCTGATCAGTGAAGGTGTGTACCGTCAGCATTCCAAAAACGGACTTCCCGGACTTATTGTTTCAGGTTACACTTTCCCCCCAAAGGACCTTGCTGTGGCGAACTCTGCGATGGTAGACACTCAAATTGCTCCAGAGTGGATTGACTCTGAAGTCTGTCTTCGGTGCCGGACTCCGTTCACCTTCACCAATCGGAAGCACCACTGTCGGAATTGCGGTCAGGTCTTCGATCAGGCGTGTTCTTCCAAGTCTCTCCCTCTGCCACACTTTGGAATTACGCAGGAGGTTCGGGTCTGCGAAGGATGCTTCAACAAGCTAACGAGGAAGTCCGACAAAGTGTACGTCATTCTGATGTTCTTCGCGATGGTCTTCTCACTGTCGTTTTAGTGATAAAGGACACCGACACTCTACCAGTCTACATGGCACACGTCATCGCAGTGCCAGGGAGCTTGCTGACGCTGAGCTCCAACGTGCAATCCAACTCTCCTTGCAGGAGGTCGGTGCTGCTAATGGCCACGCACGCTCCGGATACGTGCCCTCGCAACCCTCTAACTGGGAGTTCTCCGAACCTCCCATCGTAGATCGCGCCTCACATCCAATCAAGCCAGTCACCAATGAAGAGGAAGACGATCCAGATCTCCGTGCGGCCATCGAAGCTAGCTTGCGGGAAGCCCATGCACCTCGTCCCAGTGCTCCTATCGCGCTCGACTCACCTCGGACTGAGTACGCTGGAGCAGGCTATTCACAGTCGTATCCCCCAGCTATTGCACAAGCTCCTCTGCCTACTATCCCCAACTGTGACCTCGAGCCCTTGGAGTCCGACGCGATCCTGACGTTCAGTCAGACAGTCGAGCAGGTCGAAACCCAGGGTGGCCGTGACATATCAAGATACCCAGCTGTAAACGATCTGTATGAAAAGGCGAACAGTCTGCGGCCGAAGTTGGCGTTGAGCCTGGACGACGCCGGTCGGAAAGAACGTGAGTCTTGCCCTTACGATACCATGTCCTGCATCAACTTATACTTTCGTCCAAAGAAATGCTGTCGGACATGCATGATAAACTGTCGCAAGCCGTCAAGCTGTACGACAAGCTGTTGACAGAACAGGTGGCGCATCCGCGCTGGCGATCACCACAACCAGCTGCGAACCCATATCACCCCGCGGAAGCCAGCTACGCCGCGGCCGCCGGTTACAATCAATGGGCCTCTCAAACCCCAGCTTCGGCGTCGGCATACCAACCACAGTCTGAGCCTTCACGCGTACCTCAATCACCTCAGGCGTCATATTCCGAATACCAGCCCCAATACACGCCTCAGCCCTATGCTGCTCCACCACAGTCACAATGGCATCAGCAACCTGCGCAACCTGTCCAACATTACTCCCCTACTCCCGCCGCCCCGACATTCTCACCGCCTCAGTCGCCGCCAGCACCAATGCGGCGCGAGTCACAATATGCTGAGCCCCCGCAGCAGTATCAGGCGTACGCCGCACCAACCCCGACTCCGTCACAACCCTTAACCCTCCCTCCCGTCACCCTCAACCCGCAACAATATCAGCCTCCTGCTCAGGCACAACCGCAATATGCCGCATCTCCTCCACCTCCTCCACAGCAGCAGCAACACCAACCTCAACAGCAACAACACTCCGCCCTTCCCACGTCGTCTAACCTGAGTCGCCATAAATCCGTCTCCTACGCTTCACCGCCGCCACTCGCTCCGGCGCCACCTCCCGTCAATGGGCATCTTACGCGTAGCAGCACTGTTGCATCACATCTTCGGCAACAACAACACCTACAGCACCAGCAGGCACCAGCGGTGGTGACACCGCCCTCGGCGCTTCCGCAGTTCCCGGTGGCGCCGACGTCGAATCCGCAGACGTTCCCGATGTATGGGCCACCGATAACGGCGGGGTTCGCGCCGCCGGAGGAGAGGAAGGAGGCGCTGTTGATTGATTTGTAATGCAGTCGGGGGAGAGGATTATTTTGTATTGTTTCTGTTTTTGACGTCGGCGCTACCTAGTTTGGTATGGTGCTCTGGATGGCTGGATGCTTCGCATGCATGGGTACTACTTACTGTACTCTCCGTACATCCAAATTGTGTATATGGTACTGGTCACTTGTCTTAGATATATATACTATGTCGTTTCTATGATACATCTTCTGTAGTGGTGATTCAAACTCAGCCTAGTCATATGGATATGATCAGGGCAGGATAAGGGCAGGACAGGCTAGTTGCCTGTGACTTCCTCGACAGAGGCGTGAGCACTACTTTCAACGATATCTTTCTAACCCGACATCGACAAGTCCACGCATTAATGGGATAGTGGTAACCTGGATCGTTGCCATATGGGTGAATATATAACTGTTCAGTTGGACTCGATCCGCTGGGAGTTCGATTCTCTCTTAATGCATCGGTAAAGTTGTTGGAGCCAATTTTTACCTCCCCAATTGCTCGGAGCTCCCCAAGCTGAACATGTACTAGCAACGTCGGCCTTCCAATGAATCATGATAGAACATCCCGTTTTTCTGATAAAACATCCCGCCTCCAGCTCAGAGTAAGCATCGCGATGACTGAAGACGAGGTAAGAACCTTTAAGTCTAAGGACATCCAGAGCCTCCGTAAACTGGGGTATGCTTTTCCGAAACCCAATCATAAACAAGTCCAGCCATAAAAAATTGACAACAACCATGTATGTACAGTACACAACATTAAATCACAACACGCGTACGCCTCTCGAGACGTAAAAAACGAACAAACAATTACCGGCCAATGCCCATCTTCAACAACGCACCCACAACATCCACGTCGTCCCATCGCGTGTCGACGGGCGCGTTGCCGTCGTAGGACGCGTTCTTCTTCCTCTGGATATAAGCCAAGGTGTTCCTGAAATGCCGATTGATCATTTCGGGGGTCTGCACGCCCTCGATGAGCCCGGGTGGCGCACGCTGGGAGGGGTGGACGTCGGGGGAGGAGATGTTGTCGATACTTGAGGTTATAAGTTCCACCAAGCTATTGACGAATTTAGGAGCCACCTACGGGGGAGGAGATATTAGTTAAAGCAACCACTGCTTAACGACGAAGACGAGAACACTCACAGCTGGTGCGCCACGGTCGAAATAATATAAATAATGGTCCAAAGTGTCGCAATACAGCTGTACAGTGACGATCTCCTCGATCGCAGAGTTAGCAATGCGAAGAGACTTTTGGAGGCACTCCAGAACGCGTTTACTATCTTGATAGGGGTACTAGGTAGAATAAAACAAGATCAGCCGCCGGTTAGAAGGGAAAATGAGAACGTATGTACCGCTTTGGCGGTAGCCTCGCCGCCTTCCTCTTTTACAGGGGTCTTTTCCGGCGTATCCTTCTTCTCGCTAGCAGGAGCTTCGCCATCGGCATCAGCAGCCGGCGGTGCTTCTTGCCACCAGAGATGACTGGCCAATCCGACCGCGGTAGCTTGATGGCTCTTCTTAAGCAGCTTCGCTCCATGCAGTGCAGCCTTCGTGATCAAAGTGTCGTAGTTATCCACACCAAACACCTTGGCACCAGCAAGCGTGCCAATGATGAGCGTAATGGCCTGTAGCTGCGCGCGGGACTCTGAGATGCTGTCCTCGTACACGCTAAACGCCTGCACATAGAAGTCGTATGTGAGGTCTTCAAAGCCGCATTCATCCGAGATTTGGGCGGCGAGGAGGAACAGTCGGAGCGCGATTGTGGGTGCTTCGATTTGGGTGGAAAGGATGGATGTGAGTTGCCGGACAAATTTGAGGATCGTGGAGACCTTGGTCTGCCAGTCTGACTCCTATAACAAGAGCAGGGTGAGTGTTCCTAACAACGTGAAAGAGAAAGGAACGGCACGCACGACGTGTTCCCGGTTTTTATACCGCCGACAAAGCTTGATGGATGAAGTGATGAGGGCAGGGAAGGTGAAACGCATGCGTTCGCCTCCTGCGTCGAAATGTCTCCGTGCGATTTGTAGAAGCTGTGTCGGCCATGAACGTCAGACACAGAGAAGATTTCCTCGACGCAGCCAACGTACCTCGAACTGAACATCCAGAGATTCTGCGCGGAATAGATGCACCATCCGCGCCACCCATCCTTGCTCCTCTGCCATCTCCTCCCGCTCGACAAAATATGGTCCTTGTCTCCGGACGTCCTTAATGTTCATATTCATCTGAGCGGCGGTCCCTCCCCCAGGCATACTGGAGTCTGACTGATCTTTGATTAGTACATGGCAGAGGTCGAGGACGCCGTCAACATCTTCGGGTGTCTCCACGATTGTCTCGTTCTTTAATACAGAGGATATGATGGAATGTGCGATGGACCGTCGGGTTGAGAAGAGTTGTTTTGTCAGGAGCGGTGAGTAGTTGGGAATCGCGAGAAGGGTGAGAACGGATTGGTAGGAGTTGATGGGCGCTACAAGCAGAGCGGCGAGGTTGGATGTTGTTTGTGGCGTATGCAGGTCGGAGCTAAGATGCCATTTGAGAAGGCTCCTCGAATTAACTGGCAGGCTACATACCTCTCTTGGAATTCCTGTATCTTGTCCGCGGTGAAACCAAGAACTTGATCAACATATTCCAGCCTGTCGGGGTAGCAGCTAAGCGACAGGTTCGTCAAGGACACCAAAAGGGCGGTGATATCTTGTATCGACAAGTCTGGCCGAGCCTTAATATTGATACAGTGAGTCAAGCAACTTAATGTCAAACGTCTGCACTGACCTTGATTAGCTCAACGACCTGCTTCCAAAACACTTCGAACAATGGGACGTCCTCCGGCACACCTCTGAATTTGCGCACAGGCGAACCCTCCTTGTTCTTTCCCTTGCCCAAACTCTCCTCCAAGCCCCCGTTCGGCACCTCAGGGGAAGTAGGCGATGATACCTCAGACTCCGACTCTACCGCTGTGGTTATAGATTGAGGAGTCGGTGGAACGGAGCCCCACGCGTTGCTCTCAACAGTCGGCGACAAGGTACGGTAGGCGCCGTCTTCACGTGCCTTGGATTTCTGGATCTTAACCTTTTCCGCTAAGCGGCGGGCAGCCGCCTCCTCCTGTCGTTTCGTCTCTTCTGGGTCTTCGGCTTCGGCTTCACGGGCAGCATAAGCTGCGAGACGATCGATGAGGGCGATGACTATCTGTTTAATGTTAACTTTCGGGTGTAGCTGGGCGGTGGCGGAAAGGAAGAGTCCAAGAGTGTGAAGGTGGAATTCGTCCGTGAACACCTAACAAGAGGTAAGGCTTTGCAACTCGGGTTTATGGTGTTTTGTGACGCACTTGGATCACGACCTCCATAAGATATTCCTGGGCTATCACATCTTTACAGTTGACCACCTGCTCCAAAATACTGGGAAGTATCGTCCGCTGGTACATATCGAGATCCACGCCGTCGAGTTGGCTGAGACGGACTAGGTTTGTTCCCACTAAGATCCGTAACTCTCGACGTTCCAACTCGCGTTTCTCGCGATCTCGTGAGTGGCCTTGATGTTGCAGTCGGACCCAGAGTTTGTTCATTTCGATAAAGTTGGTCAATACGAAGGATATGGAGTCTTGTAAATTTCCAGAGGGCCTATGCATTCAATGAGTCGAGGGAGAATATGAAGGCAATATATGACGCACCCAGTGTCGATTCCGAGAGGAAGGTGATCCCTAGTCTGGCCACTAAGGTAGTGACGGAGGAAGAGACCACGTATGGGATGGAGTACACCTCGCGACATTTCCATCATATCCTTCATTATTTCCTTGACTGGTGCTTCGGGGATGGACATGTAGACCGAGCCGACCGTGATCATAAGATATAGTCGAGGAATGATGTTGCCAGCATATTGAACGAGCTCGTACAGGTCCGCTAGATGGTGCCGTGATTGGGTATGTGCATCGTAAAGGTAGTTAGAGAGGTGTCGCAGGGCATCGAATACAGCCATATCTGCAGAGGGGTGTTAAATTATATTGCGTATGTCCCAATTGGAGGTGCACATACAAAGTTCGTAATACTGCTTTGGTGACAACGAAGAGGTCCTTAGCTCTGCCAACATCAAGCTGGCGCTTTTCAACGCATCCATGAGTTCATCCAACTCCTGCAATGGTTCCAGAATGTCAATCTACAGAATGATAGTAGCTCCCAAACGAACTGCGGACGTACAAGGTGCCGTTTCATCTGCTGGACCTGAATCTTGACGGTATTCAGAGCCTCGCTGAGGAGCTTACCCTCCTCGGGGGCTTGTAGGGTGGACATGGTGGTGACGGCGGTGGAAGAGAAAGGTCCACCGTGCAACGTACAAGCTGGTCAACGGTGGATTCGCGCCAAAGGTCGATTTGCACAAGTTTGGCCCGGCCGACGCCCCACAAATGGAAACCTAACCATGTCTGCTCAGAACGACCACCTCAACCTCCAAGTGTTCCAGGAATCGAGTGGGTATGGACATGCCCGCCTTCAAACATATGAATTTACATGCTGCTCTTCCTCCACTGTCAGGTTGTGATCGGTAATGATGGTCCGGCCAGTTATTGCCCTGATCTTCTGCCTCGTGTTCAGAACCATGCTGCATTAAAAGCATGTACCACCACCACCCATCACAGTACCGCCTTGATGCTTGCACGCTTCTTAAATGTACCGAAATACCCTTTCGAACTGTCCACCGATGCAATTCGAACATCCAACTAACCCATCGCCTACTTAGACTGATTCTCCAAATACATCATTAGTGTCGTACCACGAGGATAACGATGATCGGGTGGAAAAGTACGCGGTATTTCAGTAAGACCTTTCTAGTATCGTCTGTGGGCACCTCACCCCGAATGTCCTACTACTCACTTTTCTGAACGCATAGCATATAGAATACAAGCAAAACGGAAGATTTGCGACTCCTGGGGATATTGAGCTTTCTAGACGATAATCCTCAAGCTGGCGCAGCAGGTTGCGCGCGTAATCTGTCTCAGCGTCTTCGCAGCTGGGCTCGAAGCAGGGTGTTTCTCGTGATCCCACCCATCCGGACAGTCACAGGTCCAATAACCCTCACTCTGGCATTGCAAAGGGTCCTTCTGACTTCGTCCGTAAGGCTATGGCTAGCTATAGCTGTAGTAACAATGCTCGAAGGTTCGGGTGCTAGCACCGTCCACCATAGGTTCCTTGTGATCACCATTAAGAGCTCGATATGCTTACACATTCACAAGAGCTGTCCGACAACATCAATATTTGGAGGTTTTAGGTGTCATCGTCACCCTCAAGTATACATATATATTTCAGCCTTGTCCACACTGCACGTCAATTCTATTCACATCGTCTTTTGTGAATTTGTTTGCTTTTTTTACAGGGTCAGCTCCCACGTATAACGTCCCAAGTAAGTACTCTCATATCAAGAACGTCCACGCGGTCTACCGTGAAGTGCTTATGCGAGCCTAACGACCCAAGATACACAT